CGTTGGATACCTCCATCCATAACTTCAAATCGTCAGCATGTATCAAACACTCGGTCCGGAGAGTTGAAAGGTCGTTAATAAAGAATTTGAACAACTCTGATCCAAGAACAGGGCGCGTCTGCACATAAGGACGGGGACTGAATATGTATCATTGACCTTAACTCGCATAATTCGGTCTGAAAGGAAATCAGAGATCCATGAGAAAACCCTCCCAGAGACACCAATTCCTTGAAGTTTGAACAAAAGCCGCTCATGATGGACTTTGTCAAATGCTTTGCTGAAATCAAGGTAGATAACGTCCATACGTTCGCCCGCATCTAGTGAGTTCGCCCATTTCTCTCTGGCAACTAACAAATTGGTGGCACATGCGTGACTTACGAAAGCAGTAGAAATCACACTCAGGTTCTCGAAGTAAAGGCTGAGCTCTCTTGAGAATCCGTTCCATAATTTTACACATTACTGGTGTTAAGCAAACGGAACGATAGTTTGCTGGGTCTTGGCGATTCACTCCTTTATATATGGGCCTGACGATGCTCAGCTTCCAAGCTGATGGAAGGTGTTTGGATTCAATAGAGCAACGAAACACATGACCAGCTGAGGCTGCAATGTACTTAGTCACGGTCTTGAGAAACAGAGGGTGCAGGCCATCAGGACCAGGCGGTGTTCGGATCTAACTGGAAAAGGAACTGTAACAGTTCCAGTACTGACCTCAAGATGATGCAGCAAAGATGAGCACGACAGTACGACGTCAGAAAACGGAGTTTCATTTTTGAAAACGGATGAATATTGTTGAGCTGAGATTCGCTTTCGCAGTACCCCCATGAAGTAAGGCAGCGTGTTTACTGGAACACAGAGATGGAATGCCATTACCACCTTTGGTGCCCGTTTTCAGATAATGAGAACATTTTGGAGGAGCACCTGGACTGCACAGCCAATTGAAACTCGTAGTTTTGGCGATTCACCTGCTTCTTCAGGATACAAAGGTTCCTAAGCGTTTTGTATTCCAAGTAGTCTGCCGTCAATTGTGTACACTTGCATCGGTCTCATAATTTGCGTTTTTTGTTCATCAGAGACCTCAACCGTTTGTCGATCCAAGGAGGACCTCTTGTTGGACCTCTTTTTTAGAAATAGGGACAACCTGGGTGATTAGTGACATCATTTTGGGGTAAAAGTGAGTCCAAGCATCGTCAACGCACAAAAAATAAAAAATGGTCCAGTCCATAGTAGAAGCAGCCTCCTGCAGACGCTGCGGATCGGCTCGCCAGAAATTACACTGGAAATCACCTTGGTCATGAATAGAAAATCGACGTGCCCATTCGAAGGAAACAGCACAGTGATCGCTCTTACCAAAAGGTTGCATAACAAGCAGGTCGATGACATCTGACGGCATCGGGGAGAGCACTAGATCAAGAACGTGCGGCGTGTGGTCTGAGAACAACCGAGTGGGTGAAAATACATACTGAAACAAGTAACAATCGAGAACGGTCTGAAGGAGAAGAGCATCAAGAGTCAGAAGGAAGACCACAATAAAACAGGTCCCACTCAATGCCAGGTGCATTAAAGTCTCCAACAATTAAGCAGTCCATTCCTTTTACATGCAATTTAATTGAATCCAGCAAAAGAGCTGCTGATCCTAAAGGGAGATCTATAAACGACAAACCAGGAGAGATCTACACCCGTCATGAATACACCACAGAGCTTCGAAGCCACCATCTATATCACAAGTAGCATCAAGTAAATGTGCCTTGAGGTCCGTCCTCCAATAGAGTATAACGCCACCACCTGACCTCGCTCCGTATCGATTAGCCCGGGAGGTGATATCCAGGGATGTACACTTCCGAGTCACAGATGTGCGGAGACAGCGACGTCTCAGAGAAAGGGTGATTATTGATGGAAAAAAATTGAATCTCGTCCAATTTGTTCCGCAAACTGCGCACATTAGCGGACAACACATGCAAACCGTTTTTCGACCTTAATGTTCGGGTAGGACAAGGAGGGATCTCCAGCGAGTTTTCGGAGTTTTCCGAACTACTCGAAAATCCACAATGTGAAGGTCCGTCTCACCATTTGCCCGGTGGGTTCGAAGTTCATCAATTGCACTCTTCATTTTTATCCGATCCTCAGGGGACAGAGCTCTCAGAACATAAAACGATTCTGCTTTAAGACGTGAAGTGCGTCGGAGGATGCGCCTGCATTCATCTTCATTTTGGCATACGATGTTGAGAGGGCGAGAGTTTGTGGAGTCCTTCTGCTTCCTGCCAATGTGAAAGGCAGAAACAACATTTATCCCTGATGCACCATCATCAAACAACAGTTAAACCATCCTTTTTAAAAACGCTTCATCATCTAGGATCCTTTCAGCTGGCGTAGCTTTAGAAGACTTCGGTGCATTTACAACTATAAGGCAGCGGTCACGAAACGTGCGATAGGAGCCCCTAAATGCTTGATGTTTAAGAGAAATCGATTTGTCCTTGAACAAATTGAATAATGCCGTAAGAAGACGAACACTGGCAGATGTCAACATTTCGTATTGTCTCTTCAGTGCCAACACAATAACATGAAAATATATAAGACGACAGATAGGGTGAGACCGGAACAAGTTAGAACAGGATAGAGGGGCAGGCGTGACACCCCTACGCCCAGGGCAGCCGTAGGCTTACGAACAGCTGTTTCTGCACACAGAGTGCGGGTTTGATACGGCTGATCGCGACTGCCTCTGCAAAACGTAGGAAACTGGTGCTAGTATGTCTTAACACGATTGTAAACATTGTGGCCGGATCAAACTGGTGACAGGTGGCCAGTAAATGCCTACCTATGGATGAAGCAGGTGGTTTACGTGAACAGATGGTATGAGCAACCGAGGACTGGGTGATTTGACGCTGCAACCATTTAGGTACATGTTCCCTTATTCTGGAATTCAACGATCGATTGGTACGGCCAATGTAGTGTATACCACAACTACAAGTAAATTGGTAAATGCAATGTGAGTTGGCGCCAATAGGTTGTCTTTCCGTCATTGGGGTAACAGGCATTCGATTCGTCCGGTTGATAAGGACAGTTTCGGCAGCATAATAAGTCCTCTGGACTGCGGAAATTATGCGCTTCGTTGTCCTCATATTAGCGAAATCTCCCTTAAATGGTAGCTCGATGTAGATCTTCTTTTTAAACACTGTCGATACCTTCTGTCCCGGCACTCTCGCCTGACTATGTTTGTCGATGAACCTACTTGGATAGTCATTTTTCAACAGCGTATCCTTGAGCGAGTTTATCTCATCATCTAAACTGTCGGTAGTGCATATTTTCCTTGCACGGTTGAATAGCGTCTTGACTAAGGTCCGTTTGTACCGCATTGGGGAGAAGCTGGTAGTGTGTAGGTACTGCCCTGACCAAGTCGGTTTTCGGTAAACCTCTCTTTTGATGGACCCATCTGCTCTTCGGCAAATCAACACGTCCAGATATGGAAGGCAGTTGCTTTTCTCTGTTTCGTTGGTTACCTTCAGATTCGTATGCACGTTATTCAGGCGATCGACTAAACGCGCAATGTGCTCCTCTGATGAGCTAAACACTAGAATATCATCCACATATCGTTTATAGTAGGAAAGCAGCGATATTTCCACACTCAACTTCTTTTCAACCATGGACATGAAAAAATCTGCTAGTACTGGGCCCAACGGACTACCCATTGCCACCCCATCTATCTGGCGATAAGGAATGTTTTGGAATTGGAAACCGATGTTCTCAGTACATAGTAGTAAGCTGTCCTTTAATAATTCGACTGGCATTGGAAGAGTAAAATCGGAGCACACTGCCATTTCACACACGTAATCAACTGTTTCATGTAGCGGAACATTGGTGAAAAGCGATTGTACATCCAATGTGGACATGACTTTATCGGATAGGTTAAACTCATCTAAAGCCTCTGTAAGTTCGAAAGAGTCCTTCAGACGGTGTGGGATAGTCTGCTGCTTTAACGGCGAAAGAACTTCTACCAGCCAACGAGCCAACTTATGTTGTGCCGAGTTTGCCATTGACAAGATTGGTCTAAGCGGTATACCACATTTATGGGTCATTGGCAAACCGTATAGCTGAGGTATGTTGGACCCTCCCGGTTTAAGGTGGTTATATACCTCATCATCAATTACACGGTGTAAGAGGAGCAACTTTAGGTGTTCCGTGATGCGTCTTTCCACTTCACTAACATCCTCTGCTTTTGTAAGGAGTTTAACTTTGCCAGCATCAATCAGTAAATCTTGCGTTTTCCGTGTGTATTCTTCCTTGCACATAATGACGGCTCCTGAGCCTTTGTCTGGCTTAAGTACAATCACCCCCTTTGTTCTCAGCTCTCGTAGTGCACAAAGATGACGCCTTGTAAGCAAACACTTCTCACGCACTGGCGTCATTGTGACCTCATGGGCAATATCAGTTAGTTTGTTTCTAAACCAGTTTGACATATCTGGACTAGACGCCTGTAATCCTGCTAAATGAACAAATTCTCCAACTGAGCAAATCTATCAAGAACTTGTTTAATATCCAATTGCGAAGAGGGCTTGGATTTGCCACTAGATTTTGCTTTTGGCTTCGCTTCTCGCATGTCTGAGTTGCAGCTGCCTAAAGGCGCCGCGAGTTCTTTACCACAGATGCATAGGTCCTGACCATAGGTTCGGCATGATGTGTAGCAACATTTACTGTAAGAGACGTGGCACGACTTTGCTTACCGATGGGAGATAGGCAGCCAGAACAGGGGGAGGAAGACCATCAGGTAAAACTGTCCGGGGAAACAAGCAACGCAGTGTGGTAGAAGCGGTGACTAGGAAACAGAAAGACTAGGAACATAAAGTCTTCGAGCTAACTGAAGAACTCGTCTTACAAGGACATAGGAAAGCATCTTCATCGGATTGTACCACAGTTCAAACGCAACGATAAAATGCACACATGAAATTGAGTCCCCAAAAAGCAAGACAAAGCCGAATATGACCACAGTACATAATAAACCCACTTACTTCAGCCAGTGACCTGGACACGAAACGTTGCTGCTCCTTTGTGCTAATGGTGAGCAAAGACTTTCCAGTGACCCCACATTGATCATTGGCATCGACAAATGTTCTATTAGTCCGATGGACGATAAAACAAAACTTCTGCTTCGAGGTCAAGTCGCAATATTTTACAGGTTCTGCAACGTTTCCTAACAGAGTATCGGAACGCGACCGGGGAAGTGTATGTGTCAGGAGAAAGAAGGCAAAAACGATGGGAAACATAACGACCGATGCGTTGGCCTCGAAGTACAAAAATTTCGAGTGTCCAAGGTCAAGGTCAAGGTTTGACGCATGTAGTGAAGGTTATATTCAAGTACTTCGAGTCAAGTTCAAGTTGGACAGGAACGGTAGGGGAATTCCCATGTGGGTTCCTTCTTCAATGCGTCGTTGAATCAGGATGGAGTTCGCGGGAGCGGCTACCTGTCGACTACCTGTCGATTGGAAGACGGGTGTAGTTATGCCGAAATACAAAGCTGGAAACCGCCAGGACCCTGCGAGCTATCGGCCAATTTGCTTGACGTCGCTCGCCTGCAAGATCATGGAAAAGCTTATTAAACCTGCTCTCCACCGACACTGCGAAGATCTGGACTTCCGTTCAGTCACCCAGCATGGCTTCCGAAAGAGGCACTCCTGCATCACTAACCAGTTGGTCGCTAGAGAGAAGTGGGCTAAATCAGTGGACGCTGGAAAACGTTTAGATGTGGCCTTCATCGACTTCAGCAAAGCTTTTGACAGAGTCCCACATCAGGAACTACTCTCTAAGCTCTGCGGAATTGGCGTGACAGGGAACCTCCTACTATGGATCAGTGACTTCTTGCAAGGCCGGAACGTGCAAGTCAAAGTAAACGATGCCCTTTCATTCCCCGTGCCTATGTATAGTGGCGTACCACATGGCCCCGTTCTCGGACCGGAATTGTTCAAGATATATATCAATGATCTACCAAGTATACTACAAACGGACTGTCTGATCAATGCAGACAACCTCAAGCTATGGTCGGAAGTGTCCAGCCTCGAAGACGCCGACAAATTACAGGAAACGCTTGATCTACTACACTCTTGGTCTAGCAAGTAGGGTTTGCCGGTCAACAAAGATAAATGCTCAGTCCTTTCTATAGGCGCTGCTGAACCACTGGGCATCTATCACATTGGCGGGCACTTACTCAAGATTGCCACCCAGGAAAAGGACCATGGGACAATAATCTCCTCTGATCTCAAAACGACCATTGACACGTTAAAGAAAACTGCTGCGGCGAACAGGATGTGGGGCGCCATAAGGAGATCATTCTCTAAAATGACGCCGCAGATATTTAGACTTCTCTTCACCTCATATATCCGTCCCATTCTTGAATCCGGACCTCCGGCCATAGCCCCTTTATCTAAACATGAAAGTGACAAGATAAAAAAATTCAGTGACGAGCCTCGAAATTTTTCCTTGGGCTACGCAACCTCACGTACCCTACCCGACTACAGCGGATGAACCTTTTCCCCTTAGACTATCGCCGACGTCGCGGAGACCTCATCTATACCAGGCGCATCCTACGAGGAGAACTGGGAAACGAGCTAAGGCAGTTCTTTCAGCTGAGACTTGGCAGCTCGACTCGTGGTCACAGCTGAAAGCTTTTTAAACCGAGGAGGCCCAAAGTCTGCTCAGATGTTGCTCTCTGTACTCGAGTAAGTAATGATTGGAACCGACTGCCGGACCCGATTGTCAATGCGCAATCAGAAGCGAGTTTCAAACGTTTGCTAGACATCTTCCTACTGAGTATTCCAGGATCCTGCAGGGCTGATATTACAGCCTGAGCCATGACAGCCAACCCGCCTGCAATCCTTGGAAGATCGGGAAGCGAAGGAGCTGACACGGGACCCCCCTTCTGCTCTCTACCACTCAATGAACACAATGAATGAATGAATGAATGGTTTGAAGCCGAGCGGAGCCAAATCAATACACACGAATCACATAACGGCCAACCAATCAATTCCCACGCGGCGTGCACTAGCGGTCCCCACTGTACAGGCCACGTGAACAGAATAAAGGTTAAGAGAAGGGAACCAACAAAAGCAAAATAATGGTAATGGTAGTACAGGGGAGAATGCGTGGTTAAGGCAATAATAGTAATAGGTGTAAGAAGCCAAGGAAATAGATGTAAAGTTAAGATCCAAACGGAAAGATCTGAAACTGTAACCCAAGGGCGTCGAGTCGAGGTGCAAACTCCTTCACAGTTGATGCTAATGCTACTTCGCTGGATAGTGCGTTCCATGAGTCGAGGACCCTGCGTGACAAACGAACGTCAGCTCTAACGTGATCAGATCTAGTCTCATGCAACTTCAGAGGGTGACCACGAAGAGATGGCATCTGAGCCGGCTGGAACAGTCCATTTAGATCAAGCCGAATCTGGTTGGTCAATATACGGTACGTAAGAATCAGGTCTCCCCGAAGGCGCCTTTAGTGCAGCGAAAACATCTGCAACCTGAGCAGCCTATCGGGATACGAGAGATGCCTCAATCCTTGTACCATTTTTGTACCAACCCTCAGAACTCGTTCAAGTGTCATCTTATCGCGTAACAAGCATGGAGGATAGGCCTGCACGCAGTACTCCAAGTATGGCCTGACGAAGGCTGAGTACAATATAACGAACATTTCATTTGTTATAATACCGAATGATCTGCGGATCATCCACAGCATTCGGAAACCCTTGCGGGTAGCATTTGTCCAGTTCTCGCTGGATTTGAAGTCAGAGGATAATGAGATACCCAAGTCGGTTTGTTGAGTCACTTGACGCAATACATTTCCGCCAAGTAGGTCAGAAGTTATGGAAGTGCTTGCTCATATGCGCCGGAGCGAACACTTGCAAGATTGACTGGCAGCTGCCACAATTCTGACCACTCCCAAAGCTTGTCGAGAGCTGTCTGTAAAGCCGTCGGCTCAACGGAATCGCTCGCTGTGTTCCAAAATTTTAAGCCATCCGCAAACATAAGGGATGGTACCTTAAGCTTCTCAGGGAGGTCATTGACCTACAATGCAAACAGTAGAGGTCCGAGAACCGACCCCTGAGGAACACCACTCAGAACGGCTTGTCTGAAAGACAGCCCGGAACCCACTCGGAAGCTCATCTACCTTTCTTCCAGGAAAGCGGAAATCCACTTAAATACTTGGCCTGAAACGCCGTAGGATTCTAGTTTAAATAAAAAACGGCAATGCGGTACGGTGTCAAAGGCTTTAGAAAAGTCTACGAACAACACATGCACTGCATGTCCTTGATCCACAGCCTTAGCCCAGCACTCTCGGGCTACCAACATATTGGTCAAACAGGAGTGGCCTCTGCGGAACCCATGTTGAGATGGGTTGCGCAAACTGAACTTAGCTAAGTACTTTTCCAGCGCATCTCTTACAAGCTTCTGTAATACTTTCACTGGTACGCTTGTTAGGCTAACCGGTCTATAATTTTCAAGTAAGTGCTTATCACCCTTTTTGAAAATAGGGCACACGATGGCATCTCTCAAGTCAGCAGGTAGGGAGCAGCTCCGAAGAGACTTCTCAAAGATACACTTACTCGGTTTACACAGCAACTTAGCTAGCGCGTACAAAAGTTTGGGATGGGGGGCATCTATCCCGGCAGCTTTTGTGGGATTTAGGTCACGCAGGAGCTTGAATACCTGAGCTTCCGAGATGGAAAGGTCCATCAGAAAGAGTCTACTGGTATCTTTGCTTGCAATTTGATATCAGGCAAAGGAAATTCATGAACAAACGGCCTAGCCTACTGTTCTGCAAGTAAGCAGGCCTTGGCCTTATTGGTTGATATTTCAGTGCCGTCAGGTCCAAAGAGCACAGGGAAAGGCGAATTTGCATTGCATCTCCGTCAGTCGAATCGAGACAGTATAAACTTTTGTACTTAACTGGGTGCATTTACCAGGATAATTTAGCAATATGCAATATATCAGTGTTACCCTCAAATATCATTTTTAATTGAGTAGAAAAATCAGGTTGCACTGTCATAACTGGAGTTCATGATTGATTGATCAAGCGAGGATTTTATAATGCTGAACTTAACCTTATAACAAAAGGAGGTGTTCCTAGAAAGTAGCAGTTGACATGCAGTTGAGCCATGCCATGTTGCCGGAAGACAATAGCTGTGCTTACTAGCGAGGTTATCGCAATTTTTGTAGGCCTTCTGGATGGAGCGAATAAAACCAAACTCGATACGATGCCATGGTTTGCATGCCGATAACCTGCGAATGCATGTCAAGTAACGGTACCTAATATTTGTGGTTGCATTGCATGATAAAAGGCATTTATCGACCTTTAAATGCATTCGTCATTTTTAACAGCTTAGTACTAAGCCCTTTAATTGATTAGAATACCATTACGAAACTTGGTCTATTAAACTTCAAGTTTTACCCGGATTTCTGAAGTACTTTTGCAAGTCCGAGTTTTTGGGTCGCAATATTCCAACAGCTTGGCGTCAGATTCGGTATAGGTTGTTGGTACCTCTATATTGCCTGATAGAGTACGACAAGACTGTGTGTTCGGACGGGCGTACACTATACAACAACCTAAGGAAGGCTCGCAGGTATTGTAGCCCAACCTATCGTTTGGTTTTCTAGGCATACTTTATTGCTTTTCCGCGCAATTAGACCGACTGCAACAACCTAATAGATGACGGCGGGAGATATGAGGGACAATATATGGGCATCACTTGCACTTGCATTAGAAAGTTTAACGGTTGTTCATTCCTTATGGCCCATTTATTAAGACGCGGCTGTTTTTCCTGACTAATTTATGCTGCGAGATATGAACCGACGGCGTGTGTGACATGCTGGGGTGACTGTAATTCAGAGAAGCATAATACGGTATTGGAAATGTCACTTGATCTGCTTGTACGGTAGGAAAAGTTGTAGGGCCTAAATAGTAAATATATATTAGCTACGGAAGCTGTCGCAACTAGAAAGATCTAATAACGTAGTGGTAAATATCAGCAACACAGCCATCACAACTTGGTTTAAATGACTAATTTCAGGATAAAATCAGCAATTTTCAGCCAAGAAGAAAGAGCTTTGTTAAAGAAAACATGCACGCTTTACGTAACTAAGCAGGCCAAGGTAGGGGTGCTCAATTAATTAGAGTACCTTAGAAACGCTGGATGGATAAGCTTCGTTAAAGCTGGACATTGTTTAAGAGAATAAATCAAATTTCCATTATGCTCGGTCGTTGCTGTTAATGGCTC